ATAAATGCTACCAGTCATAATTTTGGTTCAGAAATAACTAAATTTCCTTGTCAACTATGTCATTATTATAATGAACTCTCATCAGGTTTTTAGCCACGGCCATTTTAAGTCTCGCTGTCCACAGTTATTCTGTTCTGATACTTTTTCTGAAAGCTCTTTGCAAGCAATTATAATCCTAAAATGCTGTGTCTTAAAAGACGTATATGGGAAAAATGAAATGAACTCTGACAAATACAGGTTTGAGTTCACATTATTGAACTAAATATCCAAAATTCTAATGAGGAAACTAATGGATTTGTGTAACTGCTAACCAAAATCAAACAGTAAAAATTACACGAGACTGAATTGATAAAGAAGAATAACAGGTTTTTATGGCTTATTTGAAATACTGCTGGTACTTTTAATGTTTTGTTTTCCAGATTTAAGGAAACTATTTTAAACTTTTTATAACTTACAGCAATTTGGTTAAGTATACTTTTGTAATAAAAATAAAACATTTTCTTTTCTTCCCAACAGGATCCTTCCAGAATTTGCAAACAATTCAGGACTATTCTTATTTTTATGGCAATATCATTATTTGCATAAGTTCAACAAGTATCTGTCCTTTTAGTAACAGGAAACAACTAGAAACTGGTTATGTTACCAAGGCTTTGACTGGAATGCCATACAGGCATTGATCGACTTACGACCTATGCAACTTACGACCATCTGACTTTACGGCCACAATCGCTAGCCACGACTGCTCCGCGTCTGGCAGCACAAATGGTGCCCAGCTGGGCATACGACGGTGCGGACCAGCTTCCGGCAGCACTACCATCTCCGCGTGCACCATTTCAAATGTTATCCCAGAGTCGGTATAGCAATTTATGTTTTGTGTCTTGGATATTTTTCATCAAACCCCTCCCAAGATGTCTACCAAGAGGAAATTGTCTTTGTCTACGCCTCAGCCTGCCAAGAAGGAAAGAAAGGCCATCGATCTCGACACGAAAATGAAGGTAATTAAGCAGTACAAAGGAGGAAAGAAAGTGAATGGGATCGCACATGATACGAAGTTATCACACTCGACTGTGTCGATGATTTTGAAAGATAAAGAATTAGTGAAGCTGTCAAAGGTTCTGCACCCATGCGATCAACAGTTATAACAAAGCAACGAGGCGGGCCCATCCACGAAATGGAGAAATTGCCATATATTTGGATGGAAGATCAAATTCAAAAACGGCCAATAAAATGTTTCGTACATGTTTATATATTTTGACATGTTTTGCAATTGGGAAAATGTTTCCTATGGTATTTTTTACACCTGTATTTTGTATTTTTATATGTTTTGCAAATATTAAACCAGTTGTACTGGTAATGCAGTGTTTTACTTAAAACTGACGAATGTAAAAATAAGAAACAAAATGGTGTAAAAATGATACAAATGGCATAAAATGAACAAAGAAAATTATTATATATAACAATAATGAAAGAAAATTATGATAAAATATGACTTAAAGATTTTTATAGCATCATTTCACAGTACTGTACATATAGCGTACTCAACTTACGACCAAATCGTGTTACGACCAGTCTGTCGGAACCAATCGTGGTCATAAGTCAAGCACTAGCGGTATTTCAACATGTGCAAACAATGCCTGGCTTAAAGCATTCCCTGCCTTACAGTAAGTAAATCTGTCTCTTCCTGGCAGGCTCAGGAACCTCCAGATGTTGCATGCAGGAGGCAAAAACTAATGTCTTCCTTGGTTTGGCTTCCTAGCAGAGACATTTTTTAAACTCTAACTTGAGATTCCTTGTCAAAATTTCCAGCAAAGCAAATTTAAATATGTGGTTTTAAATATGCGGTTAGTCAGGCAAACTGGTCTCACTGTGATTATCTTTGGTAGAAATGGGAGTGACTGTAGAGAAGAAAATCACATTTCAAAAGAAAATTCCAATATGCCTGTTAGACTATAGCCCTGTTTATTAAGTTTTCATTATCTACCTGTACATTGCACTGAATTCTGAATTCTTTTAGCTTTCTCTAATATCCAGCTACAACTATCCAATGAAGGAGAACTGCTCAGTTCCTGAAGCTCTATAAGCTGAAGCTGGACAACTCTATGTAAATTTCAAGGAACATGTCTCATGCCTAATGCATGCGCCACATACAGACTTCAGTAGGATGGCCAATGCCATAACCAGAGACATTTCACAACTGCCAACCACATCAGAGCAAGACTCCCTCTCATAATAAGACTCTTACCTTCCTTAATTTTTCCTTGCTTATGCCTAACTCTCACTTGGCAGGACAACACTATAGTTGAAATTTCACCATCAGTGGCCTCTGCAGGTAACTTGCACTCCCTGCTTTAATTTAACCCAGTCATGGGATGCTAGATTACCTACTAACTCAATAGAGAATAACCTGTGCAGTTGCTGATACTTCTTGTTGCACACAGATAAATACATCAGGTACTGCAGAGCAGACTATTTGGTTACAAGGTAGACACCTTGTCCGGCTATTTGATTTTAGTTGGTTTGGTTCACAAGGGCCCTAGCTGAGGAGCATACACCACCCAAACTCTTGGTATTACCCTCCTTAGAGTCATAACAGCAGTCTCTCTGGTGTGCTGTATCCCCTCAAAAAGTTTTAAATGTTTTTATACACCAACTTGTCAAACGCCAAATGATCTTGCTCCAGCTAGAACAAGAAAAACAAAACGAACAAAAAAAACGTGTGATAATGAAGACACCAGGACCTATAAAGTATATCCTGGGACCAGAAACCCAAAATGATGGTAACTGAGAGTGGTACTGATGCCCGAAGGTTTGGTCAGGCCCTGGGTGAAAGCCTGACAGAAAGGGAGGAATAGTTAAATAAAAATTATAGGAGGTCACTGTTTTGGACTAGGTGTCTGCACTAGACCCCAAAAGACCAGACTAAAACTCAAAATGGAGTCATCTATGTAGGTCTCATGTTACTAAACCTAATCCTGGGAAGTTCATTTCATCTTCCCAGAATTGAAGAGAAAGAGTGAACAACCAATTTCTTAAACAGGGCAGTTTAAATCTTCAATGGGAATCATATGAATTTCCCTCTGCTTTAATCCTTATACAGGAAAGGTGGCCTGAAGAAGCCTGATGTTAACTAGTCAAAACAAGTTTTCTCTTTTCTGTCTCCCTGTCACAAACTGCCAAGAAAAGTAACTTTGAAAGGACTTTGCTTCTGCTCTCTTCAGCCCTTCTCTGTCTATAAAGCCAACCACTTGCTCAGCTCAGTGGAACACCTACTGAATTTTATGGAGAAGTGTTACTTGGTTCTAGAACCATAAAAAAGCCAACTAGGATCTTTAAATTGAAAAAAAAAAAAAAAAAAAAGAAGGCAACAGACTTGTAGTTTAAAAAAATAGGATTTTTTTCCTTTTTGAGAAGGAGCCTTGCTCTGTCACCAGGCTGGAGTGTAGTGGCACAATCTCGGCTCACTGCAACCTCCACTTCCCAGGTTGAAGCAATTCTCTGCCTTAGCCTCCTGAATAGCTGGGATTACAGGCACCTGCCACCATGCCCAGCTAATTTTTTGTATTTTTAGTAGAGACAGGGTTTCACCATGTTGGCCAGGATGGTCTTGAACTCCTGACCTTGTGGATCCACCTGTCTCAGCCTCCCAGAGTACTGGGATTACAGGTGTAAACCACTGTGCAGGGCCAAAAAAAAAAAAAAAAAAGTTTAAAAGTGCAATGAAAGGGCCAGGTGTGGTGACTCATGCATGTAATCCCAGCACTTTGGGAGGCCCAGGCCAGCGGATCACAAGGCCAGAAGTTGGGAGACCAGCCAGGCCAACATGGTGAAACCCATCTCTACCAAAAATACAAAAATTAGCTGGGTGTGGCAGCACACACCTGTAATCCCACTACTCAGGAGGCTGAGACAGGAGAATCCTTGAAACTGGAAGGCGAAGACTGCAGTGAGCCAAGATTGCACCACTGCACTACAGCCTGGGTGAAAAACTCCGTCTCAAAATAAATAAATAAATAAATAAAAGTACAATGAAAGAAAAAATGCCATTCACAAAAGTAACAAAAAAGCCAGGTGCAGCGGCTCATTCCTGTAATCCCAGCACTTTGGGAGGTCAAGGTGGGCAGATCATCTGAGGTCAAGAGTTCGAGACCAGCCTGACTAACATGGAGAAACCCCGTTTCTACTAAAAATACAAAAAAAATTAGCTGGGAGTGGTGGCGCATGCCTGTAATCCCAGCTACTCAAGAGGCTGAGGCAGGATAATTGCTCAAACTTGGGAGGCAGAGGTTGAGGTGAGCTGAGATTGTGCCACTGCACTCCAGCCTGGGCAATAAGAGCAAAACCCCACCTCAAAAAGAAAAAAGAAAAAAAAAAAAAAAAAAGGCAACAGAAAATATAAAATAACCAAGAAAAGCAAAAAATGTTTAAGATCTGTATTAAGAAAAATTCAAAATGCTTTCTGGCTGAGGAATATAAAAGGCGGCTTGACTACATGAAAAGACAACATTTGTTCTTGGTTAGAAACAGCAGTATCATAAAAATTGCTCTATAAATATAAGAAGATTTGTTTCAGATTAGGCAAATTGATTTTGTATATACACAAGTCTATTTATACTTTGGAACTAAAAAAGTTTACCGTAAAATCCATATAAAAACTTAAGCACAAGACTATCCAGGATGATTCTGAAAACTGTGGGATAATAGGGAGAGAATAAGCCCAATCCAACAGTAAAATATACTACAATGTTGCAGCAATGGCAACAGTGCAATCTGGTGCATTAACAGTCAGATGAAACAATGGTGCACAGATTCAATCCAAAAACAGACTGAAACATAGAGCTTCTAAATCTAAGGGTACATGAGGTAGAATGGAAAAGGGTCTGTTCTCAGAACAAGTACAAGAGGTGCTCTCAGATATTCTACAAAAAGGCCCACAAGAGTGGCTGAAAAATCAGATCACCAATTCACAATAATGTCTCATTGTAAGTTTAAAGAAAACTCACTTCTGTCAGGATGACATCATCATCCAGGTCCTCTTCTTCATGTTGCTGAGGAGCTGGGGTGACCAGCATTGGAATCCCTTCCTCATCTGAGGAGTCAGATATGGTGATAGGCCCATCTCTGAGATTGATCCACTCTACAGGAAAGCAGATTAACACTGTTACTGGGAGGCTAGCACTATCATATCCAACCCTTTAAGTTTGTCCTGACAAGGGTACAGCCTAAAGCCAAGTTCATGGTTAGTAGTGTGTTAACTCCTCAAGCAGTCCATGCACTTAAGCATTAACAGCCACGTTTCTATGCTGACTTTTGTAAATAACACATTTTGGGAACTGCTAGAGAAGATCTGACAATTACTATGATCAATATTATCAACTTTTTCTCATGCTAGGCTGGAGAAATCTGTTCATAACATTTTCTTGACTGCGAGTTTCTTTAAAGTAAAATAATGGTCTCCCAATCCACCTCTATTCCTCTGAGGAACCAAAGGCTATTTTATTTAAATTGCTTGGTCTGAAAAAATTATCATGCAAAAATAGTAAAATTTTAATTATTTAAAACACTGAAATTTGTTCACCTTAAACATAAACTTTAAGAATCATTTAAGCAAACGTATTTCAATGCTTTAGTCAAGCACCCATTTAGCATCTATGACAGTGAGCAATTTAACTTTCCTAGTTTCCTTTTAAATATACACTATAAATCTAGATGTAGTAATTCTATTCAAGGTTTTTACTTCCTTTTATCAATTTGAAAACAGGTCGGGCCGGGCATGATGGCTCACGCCTGTAATCCCAGCTGAGGCGGGTGGATCACGAGGTCAGGAGTTCAAGACCAGCCTTGCCAAGATGGTGAAACCCGGTCTCTACTAAAAATACAAAAATTGGCCAGGCACGGTGGCAGGCGCCTGTAATCCCAGCTACTCGGGAGGCTGAGGTAGGAGAATCGCTTGAACCTGGGCGGCAGAGACCGCAGAGAGCCGCAATTGTGCCACTGCACTCCAGCCTGGGTGACAGAGTGAGATTCCATCTCAAAAAAAAAAAATAATAATAATAATTAAAAGAACACAGCATGGTCTACAAATCAAGTGTACAGTTCTATGAATTAATACAAAAGGGCCATCTGTGTATAATCATCATCACAAGATCACGAAATATTTCTAGCACATTAGTAGCTTCCCTATCTATGCTTCCCTTCTCCCAATCTCTGCTCTTTTCATCCCCAAAGGGAGGATTTCTAACTATGCAGATAAGTTTTGCATGTTTTTGAGTACATATTCTTCTCTGCTTGGCTTTCTTGCAAATGATGTTTGATATATATCCATATTGGATGCTGCTGTAATACTTTGCTGTATACAATACACTATATGAAGATAACATAAATTATTCATTCTTCTGTTGATAGATATTTGAGTATGTGGCAGTTTAGGCCATTGTAGATAACGCTATTATGAACATTCTTGTGCAAGTCTTTGGTATACTCATTTTAGTTGGATATATTGTAGGAGTGGAAATGCTGAGTCACGGAGTAAGTATATGCTCCATTTTAGTAGACAACACTAAACAAATTTTCCAAATTGTACCAATTTACACTCCCATCTGCGGTGTAGAATAGTTATGTTGCTTCACTTCCTTACTGGAAGGCAACAATGCACATTCATGTATATATTGTCTATAGCTGATGATATGCTTTGGCTGTGTCCCCACCCAAAATTTCATCTTGAACTGTAATCCCATAATCCCCACATGTCAAGGGCAGGACCAGGTAATCAGATCACGGGGGCAGTTTCCCCCATTCTGTTCTCGTGATATTAAGTCTTGAGGTATATAACGATTTTATAAGCATCTGGCATTTCCCCTGCTTGCAGTCACTCCATCCTGTCTCCTGAGAAGGTACCTGCTTCTCCTCTGCCTTTCGCCATGAAAGTAAGTTTCCTGAGGCCTCCCCAGCAATGTGGAACTGTGAGTCAATTAAACCTCTTTCCTTCATAAATTACCCAGTCTCAGGTATTTCTTCATAGCAGTGTGAGAGCAGACTAATACAGTTGCTTTCATGATACAATGGTATAGCTGAATAGTTGCAACAGAGACCACATGGCCTACAAGGCTACAGTATTAACTACCTAGCTCTCTAAATTTGCTGAGCCCTGGTTGTGCGTATTAATTTCTCAGCCTTTCTTCTTCCTTTTTTCCCCCAGACTGGGTCTTGCTCTGTTGCCCAGGCTGGAGTGCAGTGGTGCAATCTCGGCTCACTGCAACCTTTGCCTTCTGGGTTCAAGTGATTCTTGTGCCTCAGCCTCCTGAGTAGCTGGGATTATAGGCTTGCAACACCATGCCTGGCTCATTTTTGTAATTTTAGTAGCGGTGGGGTCTCCCCATGTTGCCTAGGGTGGTTTGTTTTTTTTGCGACAGGGTCTCTAATTTTCTCTGTTGCCCAGGCTGGAGTACAATAACATGAATATAGTTCTCTGTAGTCTTGACCTTCTGGGTTCAAGTAATCTTCCCATTTTGGTATTCCAAGTACCTGGGACCTGGCTGACCCAGGATCACCATGTCCAGCTAATTTTTTATATATAATTTTTTTTGTAGAGATGTGAGTCTCACCATTTTGCCCAGGCTGGTTTTGAAATCCTAGGTTCAAGTTATCCTCCCACTTTGGCCTTCCAAAGTGCTGAGATTACAAGCATGAGCTACTGTGCCTGGCTGAGCTTTACTTCTTGTCTAATGTATTTTAGGCCATAGGTTTTCTTCAAAACATGGCATTAGATGTATCTCATAAATGTAATAGACTATATTTTCATTATCGTATCATTCAAAATATTTCCTAATTTTGATTTCTTCTTACATTGGGTATAGAATCCCACATATGTTTATTACATTTGTTGACCATGTTCTTCCAATCTTCTATATTCACACAAGTGTGTGTGTGCTTACTTTTTCAGTTACTGAAACAAGTCTTAAAAATCCCTACTATAATTGTGGATTTGTCCAATTCTGTTTTTAGATCTGCCAATTTTTGCTTTGTATAGTTTTATATCATGTTACTAAGTATACAGGGATTAGAACTACTTTATCTTCCAGTACAATGAATCTTTTATCATTATGAACTCTATCAATGCTTCTGGCTGGAGTTTCTATCAGTTTTATCTGATATTACACAGAGATATCAGCTCTTTTTTTCTTTTTGGCTGTTTGCATGATGTACCTTTTTTCATTCCTGACAAAATTTTAAAAAATCTTTATTTTATCTTCATTTTTAAGCCTATTTCCACTAGGTATAAAATCTAGATGAGTAGGCAAAAACACTATTTAGCAATTAAAAAGGAATGAATTACTGATATATGCAATAACAGGGACGAATCTCAAAAACATTACCTTTCACAAAAGAATTCAGGTATAAAGAATATATACAGTATGTACATTTACATGAAATTACAGAGTGAAAAAAAGCAGATTAGAGGTTTTCTTAGGCCTGGAGTGGGGTAAGGACTGACTGCAAAGAAGCACAAGGGAATCTTGTTGGAGTGACAGAAAATGTACTATATCATAATTCTGGTGGTACATTCGTCAAAACTTATTGAACTATAAACTTAAAAAAAAAAAAAAAGCTACAGAGGTTGGTGCATAATAAAAATTGTTAATGTTGGCCAGGAACAGTGGCTCACGCCTGTAATCCCAGCACTTCAGGAGGCAGAGGCAGTTGATCACTTGAGCCCAGCAGTTCAAGACCAGCCTGGCAAGGCAATATAGAGAGACCCTGTCTTGACTAAAGAAAAAAAAAAAGTTAATACTGCTAATAGGGCCGGGCGCGGTGGCTCACGCCTGTAATCCCAGCACTTTGGGAGGCCGAGGCGGGTGGATCACGAGGTCAAGAGATCGAGACCATCCTGGTCAACATGGTGAAACCCCGTCTCTACTAAAACTACAAAAAATTAGCTGGGCATGGTGGCGCGTGCCTGTAATCCCAGCTACTCAGGAGGCTGAGGCAGGAGAATTGCCTGAACCCAGGAGGCGGAGGTTGCGGTGAGCCGAGATCGCGCCATTGCACTCCAGCCTGGGTAACAAGAGCGAAACTCCGTCTCAAAAAAAAAAAAAAAAAAATACTGCTAATAAAAACAAAACAACACTATACATCTGAAAAAAATTCTCATAATGGGTGCAGAGTATATGTAACTCATCTAACAGAAAAATATTGGGTGCAGAGTATACATAGCTCGTCTAACAGAAAAATATATCTCCAAAGTCAGTAATTTTCCAAAAGGAATTAGCTGTTCTTAAAGAAACTGAGTATATTTAAGATCCCATTAAAAAACAACTACATAAAGCAGAAGTCATCTTCTAATCTTTCAGAAAAACAAAAAACTACAACATTAATCTGATATACATGTATAAAAAATTTTGAAATGATCATAAATACAAGTTATAACTAAGATTTAAGACTGTCTGAATCCAATAAATTATGGCTACAATTACTACCAAGTTAAAATACACTATTAATAAAATCCTAAAAATTATTCCTACTTTTGTACTCATAATTTGCATAGCTTGAGCAATTTCACTACTCTTGATTTATTTTCCTTATAAAATTTGCTCAATATTAAATGTTCTGAAAGTCAAATATACAGTGGACTCTTTGGCAACACTGATTTGAACAGTGTGGGTCAACTTATTTGCAGATTTTCTTCCACTTGTGTCACTCCTGAGATAGCAGGACTGCACAAGGCTTTCGGGAGCCTACCCCTTGCAACAGTGTGCCCTCAACGTAAGACACGGAGTCAAAGGAGATTATTTTTGAACTTTAAGATTTAATGACTGCCCTGCTGGGTTTTGGACTTGTGTGGGACCTCTAGCCCATTTCTTTTGGCCAATTTCTCCCTTTTGGAACAGGAGTATATATCCAATGCCTGTACCCCCAATGTATCTTGAGAATAACTAACTTGTTTTTGGCTTTACAGGCTCATAGGTGGAAGGGACTAGACTTGTCTCAGATAAGCCTTTGGACTTTTGAGTTAATGTTGGAATGAGTTAAGACTTTGGGGACTGTTGAGAAGGCCTAATTGTATCTAGAAATGTGAGAAGGAGAAGAGATTTGGGAGCAGCTGGGGTGGAATAATATGGTTTGGATCTGTGTCCCTGCTCAAATTTCATATTTGATTGTAATCCCCAATGTTGGCGGTGGGGCCCGGTGGAAGGTAAATGGATCATGGGGGTAATATTTCATGAATGATTTTGCACCATCCCCTTTGGTTACAACAGTGAGTTCTTGTGAGATCTGGTTGTTTAAAAGTGTGGCACCTCTTCCTCAACCCCTCTTGTTCCCGCTCTAGCCATGTGAGACAAGTCCGCTTCCCCTTCACTTTCTGTTGTGATTCTAAGTTTCCTGAGGCCTCCCCAGAAGCAGAAGCTGCTATGTTTCCTGTACAGCCTACAGAATTATGAACCAATTAAACCTCTTTTCTTTCTTTATAAATTACCCAGTCTTGGGCATTTCTTTATAGCCAGTCAAGAACAAACTAATACAAGGACCAACCCCTCCTCTTCTTCAGGCTAATCAATATGAGGATGATGAAGATGAAGACCTTTAGAATGGTCCACTTCCACTTAGGGAACACTAAATAAATTTTCTTTCTCTTTTTTTATGACTTTCTTAATAGCACTTCTTTTCTGTAGCGCACTTTACTGTACGAATACAGTATATAATACATATAACGTATAAAACATGTATTGACTATGTTATCAGTAAGGCTTCTAGTCAATAGGAGGGTATTAGTACTTAAGTTCTGAAGGAGTCATTTTTCTTTCTTTCTTTTTTTTTTTTTTTTTTTTTTTTGAGGTGAAGTCTTGCTCTGTCACCCAGGCTGGAGTGCAGTGGCAATTCTCCTGCCTCAGCCTCCCAAGTAGCTGGGATTACAGGCACGCACCACCACACCCAGGTAATTTTTGTATTTTTAGTAGAGACAGGTTTCACCACGTTGGTCAGGCTGTTCTCGAACTCCTGACCTCATGATCCACCTGCCTCAGCCTCCCAAAGTGCTGGCATTACAGGTGTAAGCCACCGTGCCTGGCCTGGCATGAGCCACTGCACCTAACAGAAAATTCACATATTGATACAAATATGCTAACAAAACATGGGCTACGGGTATCATTTTTCTAAGGTCAAATGTAATTTACTCTCTGCTAGAAAAAATCGTCTTTGTAAACACAAAATATTATCAATGGGAGAAAACAAAACCAGTATAACCTCTTCCACAGAATTTATAAGTGCAAAAAATGAACATAAGGATTCTACACCTCGGCATGAATTTTTTCCTTTTAGCAAAAGTGTAAATGTGAATTCGAACTTAACAGGAAATTTCATAAACATTTAAGAATGTTACAGAAATGCAAGCACTATTCCCTTTACAAATTAATAAAATTCCCTAAAACTTTAAAAACTGTAGAACAGGCCAGGCACAGTGCCTGATGTCTGCAATCCCAGCACTTTGGGAGGCTGAGGCAGGCAGATCACCTGAGGTCAGGAGTTAGAGACCAGCCTGACCATACGGAGAAACTCTGTCTCTATTCAAAGTACAAAATTAGCTGGGCATGGTGGCACATGACTATAATCCCAGCTACTCAGGAGGCTGAGGCAGGAGAATCGCTTGAAACCAGGAGGCAGAGGTTGCAGTGAGCTGAGATCATGGCCCTACACTCCAGCCTGGGCAACAAGAGCGAAATTCCATCTCAAAAACAAAAACAAAAACACCCATAAAACAAACAAAAAAACATGTTCCAAAATTCCCCTAAAGGCTTAGGCAGAATATTCTGGCAAAAAAAAGAAATTAAGCATCATGTGAGGACTAGCCTGCTTCAACATCACCTGTAGTATTTCAGGTAATAAAGGCCTAGTAGAGCACTCCTTTATAATCACCATGCCTTCAAAAACTGACCCTGACACTGTCTCTTAAGACTCAATGACTGCATGTTGGCAGCATTTTGCTAGCAAAATAGCTTATTAATGTAGTTGTAATGAATGAGTCTTAAACTTCACTCATGCCAGCATTATCATCATCTGATTTAATTCTAGTTTAACTAGTCTTTTTATGTCTAAAAATAAAATGTCTCTGGATTCTAAATGGTATAAAACAGGTTCATTTAAAAAAAGATATAGCTGTAACACTAAAAGAAAAATGTGGGTAACCCCCCACATAGGCACCAAGGAATGAGAGCTAAGCAGAACCCTGGCACAGTTAGGGCTTGAGGAATATCTCACTTTATAGTGTTACTACTCAGCTATTTCCTTTTATATAATCCTTTACATCATCATATATTAGTTTATAGAAATAGGGCTTGAAGAATCCCTTTATATAATCCTCTACATGTAATCATTAATAGTTGATAGTATGAGTGCCTAAAGAATATTTCCCTACATATATACCTATATCTTAGTTCATAATCAGAGGAATGCCTAGAGTGGACACAGTACAGAGCATGAATTAAGGGATAAGCAGCTTATAATCGGAGGAATGCCTAGAGTAGACAGTGCAGAGCATGATTTAAGGGAAAACAGTTATACCAGGACAAGAATCCATGGCCCAGGTGGCAGCGTTCAATACCCGCTGTATGGCAGGCTTGGGGCGAGTCACTCCTCCTAATAAAAGGAGTTGTAGGACCTTGCTCCAGTTCTTGTGGAAGGCTGCCCTCAGAACGGCAATCCAACTTGGTGACTGTGAACTTTATCAGCTCTTACTACTGTGCTGCTTGAAAAGCATCTTACCATAGAACCCATAGGAAGCTGCCAGAAGGTGGCGGTAACCTTGACAGCTCCGTCACTGCTATGTGACTTAAAGCATCCCCCCATAAATCTTCTTAGAAGTAGTTTGCCCACAGATAGAAGTATTGCACACTGTACCCTCTTCACTGCGCACGGCCCTCCTTCAAGCCTCGATGACCTAATGAGGGTGGACCCCTTGCTGCACACTGCCCTTGCCTTCATGGGAAAGGGGCCGCTTGCTGTGCACTGGCCACCTCCTGGCCTAGGTGGCCTAATAGGGGTGGGCCCTATGTTTTATTGCTCACGACCCTATCACTATCCTTAAAGATGATTTCACTCACTGCCCTGCCCCCTAACCTATACACAATAAATACTCATGCTTCTGGACATTCGGGGCCTCGCCTGACTCCACTTGTAGGTGGCGTGGCCCCCCGAGCCCAGCTGCGTTTTCTTTGTACTTCTGTGTCCTGTCTCTTTATTTCTCGGATCCTGCACCTTGGCACAGCACAAGCACAAGGCTCACTCCGCGACCCTGTGAGGCACTCAGCCTTACATCTGGCTCCCAATGTGCCCTAAAGAAAAAGCCACAGGGAAAGGGATAAAGTGTGAGCAAACAAAAACGTACCTTGTCCTCGATGGCAGTGAAAGTTGTTTAAGTGAATTACCTCTTCATTGTTGTTTCCCTCTGCCATTTTCAAATGCAGACATGCACATATGCAACTGCTAGTATCTAAACATGGTGCCCATCTGTTTCAAAAGGCCTGAAAAGGAAGCAAAGAGAAACAGTAAGAATGAGGGCGTATCAAAACTCTTACCATGTATCTGGTCAGGGGAACATATGAAGCTTACGCTGAAAACATTCCTTAAGAAAACATATGCAAGGAAGTGGTTTAAAAAACACACACAAACTCAAAACGTATGGCATTAAAATGTATTTTTAAAATACACATATAAAAGAGACAAAGTACTAACAGAGAATTCACATATTGATATAAATATGCTAACAAAAATGGGCTAAGGGTATTAATAGGCAATTCGCAAAAGAGAAAACAGAAGATGCTCAACCTCACTAAAAATCAGGGAAAGGCAAATCAGAAAATGAATTACATTTCAGCCGGACATGTTGGCTCCCGCCTGTAATCCCAGCACTTTGGGAGGCCGAGTCTGGCTGATCATGAGGTCAGGAGTTCGAGACCAGCCTGGCCAATGCGGTGGAACCCTGTCTCTACTACAAATACAAAAATTAGCCGGAAGTGATGGTGGGCACCTGTAACAGCTACTTGGGATGCTGAGGTGGGAGAACTGCTTGAATCCGGGAGGCAGAGGTTGCAGTGAGCTGAGATCGCATCACTGCACTCCAGGCTGGATGACAGAGTGGGACTCCATTCACTCCACCAAAAAAAGAATTATGTTTCAAACCATTAGGGTGGCAAAAAAGGCAAGTATGTAAGAAATGGGAAATCTTATACATTGCTGGTGGTGCATGTCTGTAATTCCATCTATTCGGAAGGCCGAGATGAGAGAATCACTCGAACCTGGAAGGTGGCAGTTGCAGTAAGCCAAGATCATGCCACTGCACTCCAGCCTGGGAAACAGAGCAAGACTCTGTCTCCAAAAAAAAAAACAACAAAAAAAAACTCTTCCTAAGAAGCAATTAATGCTAAAGTAATAAAACATGATCTTTAAGTAGCACAGAAAGAATAATTGTAAACTTCAAATTTTATGATCCTTATTTTCAAAAGTAAAGACAGGGTGTGGGTACAGTAGCTCATGCCTATAATCCCCCCACTTTGGGAAGCCAAAGTGAGAGGATCGATGGAGACCAGAAACTTGAGATCAGCCTTGGCAAAAGGGTGAGACCCTATCTCTACAAAAAACTGAAAAAAATTAGTTGGGCATGGTGGCACATATTTGTAATCCCAGCTACTTGGTAGGCTGAGCCTATAGGACTGCCTGAATCCATGAGTTCCACGGTTACAGTGAGCTATGACCAATCCACTGCACTCCAGCCTAGGAAACAGAGCAAGACTCTGTCTTTAAAAAAAAAAAAAAAAAAAAAAAAAAAAAGCCTAAGGATGGGATAAAACAATTTTTAGATATGCAAAGACTAAGAGAGTTTACCTCCCACAGATACTCAAAGAGCTATTAAAAAATGAACTTCAAGGCCTGGCATGGTGGCTTACACCTGTAATCCCAGCACTTTGGGAGGTCAAGGCAGGTGGATCGCTTAAAGTCAGAGGAGTTTGAGACCACTTGGGCAACATAGTAAGGACTAGCTATACTAAAAATACAAAAATTAGCTGGGTGTGGAGGCACTGGGGGTTTGTAATACTAGCTACTTGAGAGGCTGAGGTAGGAGCATTGCTTGAACTTGGAAGGCAGAGGTGGCAGTGAGCCAAGATAGTGCCACTGCACTCTGGCCTGGGTGACAGCAAGACCCTGCCTCTTAAAAAAACAAAAGAAACAAAAAGCATTAAAAAGAAACTCCATTTGAGATGGAGTCTCACTCTGACAACAGTGAGACTCCATCTCAAATAATAATAATGATAACAATTAGCCAGCCGTGGTGGTGTATGCCTGTAGTCCCAGCTACTCAGGAAGGTGAGGCACAAGGACTGCTTGAGCCCAAGAGTTTGACACTGCAGCGTGCCACCATTATGCCACTGCACTCCAGCCTGGGAGACAGCAAGACCCTGCCTCTTAAAAAAACAAAAGAAACAAAAAGCATTAAAAAGAAACATGAATCTAGGCTGGGCACAATGGCTCACACTTGTAATCCCAGGAAGCCAATCCTTGGAAGACCAAGGTGGGATAATCACTTGACGCTAGGAGTTCACGACCAGCCTAGGCAATATAGCGAGACAAAAAATAAAAATAAATTAGCTGGGCAGGGTGGTACATACCTATACTTCTAGCTACTCATCTGAGATCCCAGGAAAGCCAAATCTTAAGAGTTAAAAACAAAATGAAAACAGACCTAATACAGACCAAACCATGATAGGATCAAGATGATTTGCCGGTACTCTAATTTCCACACCTAAAAAAACTTAAACCACAATGAAGGAATATCATTTGGACCCTCCAGCTTTTTCATTCATAATGTCCAGACTTTGATTAAAAAAAAAAAAAAAAATGACCAGTTGCGGTAGCTCATGCCTGTAATCCTAGCACTTTGGGAGGTTGAGGCAGGAGGATCACTTGAGTCCAGGAGTTCAAGACCAGCCTGGGAAACATAGTAAGATCTTGTGTCTACTTAAAAAAAAAAAAAAAAAAAAAAAGCCGGAACCAGTGGCGGCTCATGCCTGTAATCCCAGCACTTTGGGAGGCTGGGGGGGGTGTGTGTACACACACACACACACACACACACACACACACACACACACCTCAAATTGACGGACCTTAAGGAAACAAGATTAATCCATTTACAGCTAGACAGACTTGAACAGTACTATCAAACAGCTTGACCTAACTGACACTTTATCCAGTAACTGCAGAATACACATTCTTTTCAAGTGTATAAGAACATTTACAAAACAGATTGTATGCTGTGCCATAAAGCTAGCCTCAACAAATTTGAAGATTTGAAATCATACAGCATGTTCTCTGACAACAGTCAAAAAAAGATAACGAGGAAATTTTGAAATGTGAGAAATAAAGCAACTTTTAAAATCCACATATTAAACTAAAAATCACAATGAAAATTAGTTAACTATTTTGACTAAACGAACTGAAAGATAATGAAAACAAAACATATCAAAATTATGGGAAGGAGGTAAAACAGTTATTAGAGAGCAATTTACAGTTCCAAGTGCCTTATTTTAAAGAAGAAAGAGGCCAGTCATGGTGGCTCATGCCTGTAATTCCAGCACTGTGGAAGTCTGAGGGAGGCGGATTGCTTAGCTCAGGAGTTCAAGACAAGCCTGGGCAACATGGTGAAACACCAACTCTACCAAAAAACAAACAAACAAATTAGCTGGGCATGGTGGCATGCACCTGTGGTCCCAGCTACTCGGGACGCTGGAAAGGGATGAATGCTTGAGCTTAAGAGGCAGAAGTTGTAGTAAGCTGAGATCATACCACTGCACTCCAACCTGGGTGACAGAGTGAGACCCAGCTCAAGAAAAAGAAAAAAAAGACTGAAAATCAGCTAGGCTCGGTGGCTCATGCCTGTAATCCCAGCACTTTGGGAGGCTAAAGTGGGTGATCAGTTGAGGTCAGGAATTTGAGACCAGCCTGGTCAACATGGTGAAAACCTGTCTCTACTAGAAATACAAAAATTAGCCAGGCTTGGTGGTGGGCGCTTGTAGTCGGGAGGCTGAGGCAGAGGAATCACTTGAACCCAGGAGGCGGAGGTTGCAGTGAGCCAAGATCGCACCATTGTACCCCAACCTAGGTGACAGAGTGAGACTCATCCCAAAAAAACAAAAAAAGCCAGGCACAGTGGCTCATGCCTGTAATCCCAACATTTTGGGAGGCCGAGGTGGGTAGATCATGAGATCAGGAGTTTGAGACCAGCCTGCGTACATGGTGAAACCCCGCCTCTACTAAAAATACAAAAATTAGCTGGGTGTGGTTGTAGGTTACTATAATCCCAGCTACTCAGAAGGCTAAAGCAGGAGAATCTCTTGAACCCGGGAGGCACCGGTTGCAGTGAGCCCAGACTGCACCACTGCACTCCAGCCTGAGCGACAGAGCAAGATTCCCCACTCCCACGCCTCAAAAAAAAAAAAAAAAGACTGAAAATCAGCTGGGCCTGGTGGTTGACGCCTGTAATCCCAGCACTTTGGGAGGCCAAGGCAAACAGATTGCTTAAGCACAGAAGTTTGAGGCCAGCGAGACCCTATCTCTATAATTAAAAAAAAAAAAAAAAAAAGATTACTGGGAGAAATTAAATACCAAATAAACGTACTGGCGTACCATATTCATGGGTTGGACAGCTCCATTTTGTAAAGATGTCCATTCACTGTAAACTGATGTGTAGATTTAATACAACCTTCATCAGGTTTTAAAAATATATACTAAATGACTTTAGAATTTACAGAAAAACAGCCAAGAATAACCAAAGCATTCATAAAGAAAAACAAAAGAAGGATTTATACTAGCAGATATTGTATTAAGGTTACAGTAATTAAGACAATGTTCTACTGACAAAAGAAGGGAAAAACAGACCAATGGAACAGATTAGATTCTCCCCTGGCCACCCCCCCACCCCCAAAGGAGTGTTGCTCTGTTGCTCAGGCTGGAGGGCAGTGGCTGGATCTCAGCTCACTGCAAACTCCACCTCCCAGGTTCAAGCAATTCTCCTGCCTCAGCCTCCCAAGTAGCTGGGATTACAGGCATGCACCACCACGCCCAGCTAATTTTTGTATTCTTAGCAGAGATGGGGTTTCATAATGTTGGCCAGGCTGGTCTCAAACTCTTGACCTCGTGATCTGGCACCTCGGCCTCCCAAAGTGCTGGGATTACAGGCATGAGCCACCCCTCCCGGCCCCAGATTCATTCTTATATGAATGTTTATGACAAAAATAGCATTGCAGAACAGTGAAAACATGAACTTTTACTATATGATGCTGTACTCAAAAGCTATATATAGGGCGGGAGTGGGGTAACAACCCCTTCCTCATGCTTTATATAAAAACCATTTTAGATGAACTACAGATTTAAATGGAAAGGTAAAATAAGTTTCTAGAAGATAACACAAAATCTCCACAGCCTTAGGGGTACAAAAGATACCTTAAACAGGACAAAAACAGTACTATCC